CTACACCCTAAACCCGAAACCCTCACGTCTAAATGAATCCAACACCCGAAAAAAGGCTCGAGGTTTACGGCTTTGGGGCCCTGAACCGATGATCCGAACCCTCAAAGGAACCGTTAAAGGCACCCTTAAGGCTTAGAGGTTTTGGGTTTGTAGGGTTTAGGGTTAAGGGTTTAGGGTTTAGGGGTTTAGGGTTTAGGCTAAGGGGTTTAGGCTTTAGGGTTCAGGAAGCTTATGACTTCAACCCCAAAATATAGTATAGACATTTTTGAAGAGAGCCCTGAAACGTCATAAGCCCTAAGCCCCATTATGGGCTTCTATACGAGAGCCCATTAGACCCTTAAGCCCGGAACCCCGTGATAGACTTCCGAAAGAGCACTGAGAGGACCCCTAAATCCTGAAACTAAAGCCCCATCAGAGGAGCCCCTAAATTCTTTAATCCTAAACCCCATGAGAGGACCCCTAAATCCTAAACCCCAAACCCCATGAGAGGACCCCTACATCCTAAGCCCCAGGCCCCATGAGAGGACCCCTACACCCTAAACCCCAAGCCCCATGAGAGGACCCCTACATCCTGAACCCTAAACCCTAAACCCTTAAACCCCTAAACCCCTAAACCCTAAAACCCTAAAAACCTTAAACCCTAAAACCCTACACCCTAAACCCTAAAAACCCTAAACCCTAAAAACCTTAAACCCTAAACCCTAAAAACCCAAAACCCTAAAACCTTTCAACAATCCAAGGCCTGAATCAACCCTAAAAACCCCAAACCCTAAACCCTAAACCCTAAACAGCAACAATCCAAGGCCTGAATCCACCGCTCGTTTTTTCCGAGAGTCAGCTCCTGGGGCTTCCTCGCCTCCCGCAGTCTCCCGTCCAACTCCCCGGCCTGAGCTGAAGGGTTTAGGGTTTAGGGTTTAGGGTTTAGGGTTTAGGGTTTAGAGACGTTTGGTGCTCATTTTTTGGGTTTAGGGTTTAGGGTTTAGGGCTTAAGGGTTTAGAGACTT